TTTTAAGTGCACCACCATGAAAAGCATAAATTTGAACCCACCTATGAAGGCATAGCATAAACTATCTCCAGTCTTGAAATCACGGATAACTTCAGCCCTGTAACCACATTATATTTACGAACAACACATTATAAACATAGATCCAAAAACTTAATGATGCTTAATGACAATTACTTACGATAAGACAGTTCCAAAACGGGAGAAAATTGTATGTAAGTCCTCATCCTTCATTGACAAAGATGAACCAGTTAAAACAATAATCGAGATACTTAAACCTAAAATACATATAATAATTGCCATTAATTCAATGAGAGAAGTATGAACTCACTTCTGTGACTGGATTTAATTTACAAACGAATAACACATTATCAGGAGGCTTTATCTCAGCGTCAGGGATATCTCCAATCTGTCCAGCAAAAAATGGATATAAAGGGTGTAGAACTAAGTTGATAAATGATAATGATGAAGGTCAGATGCAGAACAGAGCATGAAATGAAGCTTACAGTTTCAAGCACAACTGCTCTAGAGTGAGCTTCCTTTGCACGAAAAACCTCCTCAAGTTCTTCTGGGCCTAACTGCTCATCCAGTGGCACCCAATCATCTTCCAGCCGCACCTCATCAACAACCTTCTCACAACAGAAGGAATAAATCACAACTTAGAGCATACTTACAAACGACAGCTCCCTATGTTCAAACTCAGTAACCAGCTAAAAATACATATCAAGATTGCACGTTGATGAAGTCAACATTTATTGTCCATTATATGCAAGGCAGCATAAATAAATCAATATGTCTCACAACGAAATTGTAATCAAAACATCAGCATCACTTGTTTAAGTGTTCAATTATTCAATTCATTTATCAATGAAAAGCGCGCAAACAATATGAGCCACCAAAAATGAAACAACAAATTATGAAAGAGAGTCCTACTTGTTCGCAATCAAAAAAAGGAAGAAATTTTCTAAACAACTTTGTATGAGAAACCAAACAGAAACATCGAAATGAGTCCCCACAATGAATCTCCACCCAAAACCTTAACCTATCTTAAAACGCCATTCTGCTCCACTGCTATGACCCTCCTAATCTTTCCACATTGATATGCTCCCATAACATCAGACCTAAACCAGACTTGTAACTTCCATAAGACCAAAGTATAATTATGCATGAAGATGCCAACATAACTCAATGTTAAGGCATCTATATCTATCTCCCCTCAGCGTAGAAACTTTGAATCTGAACCCTCTCATTTGTGACGTAATATTCTTAAAAAAGTTATGCATAAAAGATAGTGTTCAAAATTATAAATCTCAAGACAATCTACCCTTCAAAAAAAATGTTACATTTGTGGAACTTGACTAAATTAGTGTCTTAGTGAGCATGAAGCCATAATAGCAAAAAACACGTATTATTTTGTGAGTTTGCTAGTGTTTCAGGTAAAACTTGCCTATCCAAAACAATTCCCTCAATTTTTCACATATTACAAGTTGCCAAATTTAGCCCTAGATATGTATATCCCATAAGAACAATCCTCAAAACAATTGTATCCTGGGTTTCCCATACTTCAGATTGAACTTCTGCAACAATAGTGGGACAGATCCCATCATTCCATTGTTTCTTACAGCTAAGGATTGAAAACATTGAAAGAGCGATAGTTGGGAATGATAAATTAATTAACTAAATCAACTTGAGAATTTAGCAATCAGCTAACTTGAACACTAAGAATCTCAGTGCCTTTACCCTCCTCCAAAATATATATTACAAGAAATAATACCTACCTCATCTTTTGGTTTTCCTTCTGGTGAAGCATCTGGTATTAACTCAGCTAACTGGGAAGGATCATCAAATGGATCGTCCAGTATATAGGTGTGTTTGATTCTGTACAAATTGAGACAAGTTTTAACATAAAACATAATATTTGGGACAAATATATATATAAAGATTAATTTACAACAGTCATGGGATTTAGGAATCCAAAAGACAAATCATCATGAAATTAAATTGCCAAATGAAAGTTCTCAAGATTATAACGATGTATGGGATGGATAATAGCTAATTTTGAGCTATAGTTGGTGCACACTTTCAAATTCATTCTACAAATACGATCCTTTTGGCCTATCTACACTAAGCACTCCCATACGTACTTTCCAGACATCAATGAAAATTTTGTTTTGTTCTTAAAAGCAATTAGCATATACCGGATATTTTTGTATGGTCTGCCCTTCTCATCTGCGTAGGCTTCATTAATCCTACTCAAAGTGTCAAGTCCTTCAGCTACCTCTCCAAATACCTACAATTGTGGAGAAGTTTTTAGTAACACAAATTATCATAAACACAAAAGCAACAGCTACTTTTATCAGTGAAATGAATGCATGTAGCTTTTTCTGGTACCATAGACCACTACTTCTTGAAGAATCCTCAATCTTTAAATTCTAACCCATAAGTTCATATCATTAATTAAAAGCTTACATCTTGCCAAAAAATTACAAAAGCTTTGCCTTTCACCCATTGGGTCAAAACAGCATACTGTAGTTAAATTCTAAGGTAGAGTAAATAACTCAATTCAACCAGCGTCTGATACAAGAATGGAAGTAATTATGAAATCTCTATATAACAAGAGCTCCATTGGGAAGCAAAAAAACAAGCATTCTCCCAACGATGTGAAGGTTCTTTAACAATCTTGGAAATTTCTTCAACCATCATAAGGCAGGCATAGGTTGGCCTAGTGATCAATAAAGATCAACGTAAATAGTAAAGGACTTAGAGAGAACCGGTTCAGACCATGGTGATGCCTACCTAGGATTTAATATCTTATGAGTTACCTTTGCAACTAAATATAGTAGGTAGATGGTTGTCCATGAAAATAATCAAGGTACATGCAAACTAACCCAAACACTGGCGGACATTAAAAGAACAAATCTTGTAAATTTCTTCTATTTCTTTCAAAACAAAACCTCCAACTATATAGCTTAGATGGCATCCCGTGGATGAACTTTGCCCTTCTTTTATATTGCATTCCATACCAAACACAAGGTACAATGTTAGAAACTTCCCATCAAGAAAATAAATAATCTTAAATCTAGACAACACTTTCTAAATGCACCAATTACAGACCGTAAAGCATCTTGACAAGGCACTATGTAGTTAACTTCCCTTCTTTCTTCCTTTATTGGACAAATATTTCATGCAAAAAGTGTAATAGGCAGTAAATAATGCAGCTAAAAGGGGAAAAAATCCACTTCACACTTCTTTCTTCTAATGCTTGTAAAAGGAAAATGCTTTATTACTACACCCTAAGTCCCCTGAGGCAATCCATCCTTACATAAGAAAGTATTGGAATGCACGGTGCAGGGCAATGACACAGTCAGAGACATAAGCACTACCAGCACTCACAATATGACACAATTAAATAAGCCAACCAAGGATGAGTTACCCAGTATAGAAAAATCTAACCACCCCATATCAATTGAATATATGGTACAGAGAAACTTTTGTACAGATAGTTTTCCCTGTTTCCCTTTATTTTGAACATTGTTTTCCCTTTTCTATATTTTGTAAATTGGATACTAAGGAGGCATATTAGAGATGAGAAAGGTGGATACCACACCCAGAAAATGGGAGAGAGAGAATATGTTATTGTGTTAGTAAACTTACAGTGTGCTTGCCATCAAGATACTCGAGATCATCACGCAAGGTAAAATAGAACTGAAAACAAAGGAACAAATGAATGCCGTCTTAGTCCTTAATGTGGTGCAAGCAGATAAATTTTGGAGAACATGCACGTTGATAAAATACTTGATAATAGAGGAAACAAATGTATATCAATAGTACCTGAGAAGCATTAAGATTTTCTCCAGCACTGGCCATTGCAACTGTGCCAGTCTTAGAATGCTTTAAATCGAGATGAATCTCATCACTGAAAAATCGAGCCTGGTCTCCATATAGATATCTGACAACATCACAACATTACGTAAGATGCCTTCAAGCTCAAGATTAATCATTCCGAGTCTAACGCTGCTAGTAAGCAATATAATAAGAAAACTAAACAATAAAAATTCTAAAATAAAATGCAGAATGTAAGATCAAAATCTAACGAAATAAAGCACTCACTTATAGATTGAGTCACCACCAGTCCCAGTGCCAGTCGGGTCACCAGTCTGAGCAGTAAAATCCTTCTGAATTGTATGAAACAGACACCCATTGTAGTACTTAATTCTGAATCAATCCAGGACAAGAAAAGGAAAAAAATATAAAAAAGATATAAAAGGAAAACAGGAAATGCGAACAATCAAGGTGAATTCTTCACAGATAGTAAACTAATTAGCCACTGTAAATCAGGCATCTCTTATAATACGAAAACAAAAATTTATGTTTGGTAAATTTTCAGGGGCTTGAACTACGGACACTACTGCTACTAGGCAAGAAAGAGAGCCAGCAAAAAGAGGGATAGAGAGAACTCTTAATACAGTTACAAAGAAAATGAAAAAACAGACTCACTTGCACAGCTTCAAGAAATTCTTGGAGGTCAAGGGGCACTTCTCGGTGTGCAGGTCGATAACAATGTCCCCTAAACTAGTTACAATCAGTACGGACATATTGGCTTCCGGTTAATGCTTTGGCATCAAACTCCCATTGAATTGTGGAAGCTATCGGTAGAAGATATGGCGATCACGGTGAGAAACTGTGAGAGAAGGCGGCGGTTCTGGTTGGCCTCAGATCGACGGAGGGAGGGAGCTGAACTGAAGGTGGAGCAATGCGATGGCCGTCTCCTTCTCGAGTATGTCGTATACGGGCAGGCGTACCGTAAGGATAGTACTTAACCAATAAGCCCAAGCCACGTGTTCCCGCAATTGGCCCAAAATTTGGACTATTGGGCCGGTCAAATGTTTCCCCCTATCTCTGGTGGGCCCTTCGTCAAAGCATGGCCTGGCCCGGCCCAGGAGTCCTAGTTTTCAAGATTGACCTCTTAACAAATCCATTACCATCTTTTTTATTGGTGATGTGATTATTATTATTTTTTTTTTTTTGATAAAATGGTAATGTGATTAATTATCAACTATGGAAGGAAGTATCAAATTGTCACCATTGTGGGAGTTTAAAAAACAACTTTTAATAAAATAATAGTTAAAAAACAATTTAAAATTAAGAATAATATTTTGTGAAAGTTTAAATTTTAAGATTTAACAATTAAAAGATAATGAGGAAGTAGGTGAGACTTGCAGTAACATTATCCCACATGCATGACCCACTAAATGTATAATTTACAAATATTCCCTTTTGATTACTACCCATTATCCTTTGGTGTTTTGCATATTTTTAATAATCATTTAAGTGGGTTTATTCCCTTTTGTAAATTGGATGCATGATATGTGAATAGAAAGAATGTTGAAAACGAAAGGAAAAAGTGGTGATTGGCCAATGTTTAGAGTAAAGACTAGAGAGAGCAGAGGCACAGCAATGCTACAAATATTAATCCCAATACACAATGAAAGAGAGAAAGTAAAGATGCATATTATATTATATGATCTTTCAAACATAAGGAATTTCCAAAGGAACCCCGTCCCTACACACACCAGACATAGAGATCAGAGCATATTTATGTTGAAAGTGGCAAACAAGAAAAAATGCTTTTGTTTATGCTCTAAATTATACAATATCGTCATATGTATATATATATAGATTCATTTCCATCCAATATGCACCATTAACTACTGATCCTCTATTTAGCAGCACATCTGCCTTTTGTCTCTTGTTTTTAGATACATTACATTTACATATGCAGTAAGTTTTCAATGATGAACTAACATATAGTAATTAATTTATGAGATGGGATGGAGATAATGTATATGAGCAATGAGTGTGCTTTTTCCTTTTTTGGTGTTGGATTCGTAGCTTTCTTTAGTCAAAGAAAATGGGCAAAGGTATTACTTTAAGGAGAACCAAGAAGCAAGTGGGAAGTGGAAAGTAAGGCCCACAGGGGCTAGAGAGAGTTTTAGGTAAAAAAAAATAGGTTGATGGGATGCAAAAGCTAAGAGCCAAACTATGTATGATGGGCACCTGATACCGGCTTCTGCCCTACAAAATCTTCTGTTCAATCTATCATTTTTGTGGCAAATTGGGTCAGAGAAAAAAGGATCATATTTTGTGTCACAAAAGGCATGATCCCAAAACCCAACTTGGCTTTTTTACTTCACATTCAATAAATCTTGAGCTTACCCAAGTTGCATGCCATTCCCTTTTTCATTAATTTCTCTGTTTATAATCACATATTGATATCTACTTTAGGGAGCGACAAGAAAAGAAATCAAAGCATGGGGAATCACTTTTTAAGATAAGAAAACAGTAGTGCTAAATGTGTTCAGAGAAATCCTTTTTGAATCGGATACTTGGTGTGGTGTGATATAGTTTCAAACAAAAATAAATTAAATTGTATGATGATAACTTGTTCAAGTTTCTACTGACATTTTTAAGTCACTCAAGATTATATTCTACTCACCAAATTGAATTTTGTTATCAGATTAGATTGATGTAATTTAAAGGTAATCGATAATGGACGACAAAGATTCTTTTAATGGGAGAAATTTGGGTTTTACATGGTTATGATAGGCCACTTAATTCTCTAAAAATTGTCTAGGAGAAAATATAATTAATTCCACTTTAACGGGATGGATTAAGGATCAATTCCACTTTAATAAATTCAAATTCCAATAAAAAGAATTTAAATTAGAATAAGTATGTATCGGAGAAAAAAAGGTCAATTTATTGAAAATTGAAGTTTAGAAAATATAAACTTAAACACTACTGCTCCTTTTGAGTTTTGAAGGAATAATTGATAAAGAATTTAAATTATAGCTTGTTTGGAAATATAAATATAATAATCTCAAGTAAGTTAGAACGTAAAAAAATGGAAAAATAAAATTGGGTGTGTATGAAAAAAACAAAATTCTAATTATTGGGTAAATTTTGAAAGTAAAATGAAATGTATTTTAAACTCAAAGTAGATAATATTATACAATTCTAGAGTAATTCACACAAGGGACTCGTTATTTCATTGAAAAGTTATATTATTCTCGGTATGTAACAAACATAAGAGTTAGCCAAAGAAATGATATAAAAGGCTTTTCCTGATATACCTTTTTTTTGTATTGAAAAATGATAGTCAAACGAAAGTCAAAGTAATAAGCTTGGGAAGATGAAAGCACACAAAAGATAGGGTTTTTGTTTGGGTTGAAGAGAGAAGAGAGAAAAAGTAGGTGCAAGACAAAGTACATCAAAACTGAAAGAAAATGCCTAATAAATTTAGGACAAGAGATTGCCAAATATTACACTTGTTGGTACTTTATTTGTTTGTTTGGTTTAGATGGGTGTGTGAGAAGTGAGTGGCATTCTAGTGTTTTTGCTAAAAAATGATGGGCACTCAAAGAAATTCCCCCAGTTTGGGGGATATATGTTGTACTTGACATCTCGATCTTGATGCCAAATCTTTCAGTTTCAGGCCCATGTGATCAATAGATTCTTCCATTGGGCTTTTCTTTCTCTCTTTTTTCTTTTCTCTCTGGCTTCCTTCTCAACTTTCTGTCTTTTTTAACCTTTCAACCAACTATATTTATACTGTTCATTCTAACTCATCATATACCAAACCATTTATCAAACGGTAAAAAAATCATAATATAATTTATTCAATCTAAATATTATAAATATTAAACGCATTAATCAACTAGATATTGAACTTTTTTTAACCTTTGATTAATGTTGCAGATGGAGATGAGGGGGTGGGTTGGCAATGGTAACGCCGSGCGTTTACAGCTTAAGAAATAAACTGAACACAAGTAAATTTAAAACCAGACTCTCACAATTTAGTTAGTTTATGCTAATTATAGTATAACCAAGTCCTACTCCTCCTCCCTCCGGTCAGCTGCCCTATCTGCCCACCCTTGACCCAATTACCAACAACTTACTATATGCTATATATATATATATATTATATTCAACTCTGTGAGAGCAACCCATCCCTAAAAGCAAAAAGAAAAAAAGAAAAAAAAAAGATTTACACAGCATATGGCCGCTTCCGTTCCTCAATTGCAATTCTACTCAGATAATTATCCACTATATACCATTACTAATGATTTTTGTGAGCACCTCCCTGTGGCAGCTGCTGCAACTTCTTCTAACGCCGCCGCCGCCGGGGCATTATGGGCCGAAGAAGAAACCTTAGTTCCTTTGTTCCATGAATTTGGTCTCGACCAAACGTCGTCGTATCCTCACCCTCACCACCACGTGGCATTGCCGCATCAGCACGAACTTGACAATATGGGCTGCGGCGGCGGCGGCGCCATTTCAGCGGCCGGGTCTCAAAACCTGTGCCTCGGATACCCACAGCCACCCGATAATCAGTTTCATGAATTTGGAGAGCAGGATGCCTTCGGTTTCGGCTTCGGTTTGCTTCCACATATCAAACCAATTTATCACCCACTTCCCACCGATAATTGGGTATCCTCATCTCATTTTCTAAATTTCAAAATTGTAGGGATATATATTATTATTGTTTGCATTATTCCTGTAACAACACAAATTAAATTAATTTAACCCATGCTCTGAATCATATTGTTATAGGAAATTCAAAGCAGCAATAATCAAGTTCCTGCTACTGACCAAGACGACTCAAATAATATGAAGGTGGGCCGCTACTCTGAAGAAGTAAGAAAAGAAAGGATTCTCCGGTATTTGAAGAAAAGAAACCAAAGAAATTTCAACAAAACCATAAAGGTTTTCCTTTTTTTTCCCCTCTCCATTGATAAATAATAAATTCTGGCTTGGTAATATATATATAGAATAATTAATAATATATAGAAGTGATTATGAAACACAATGGTACAGTATGCATGTCGGAAAACCTTAGCCGACAGAAGGATTCGAGTCCGAGGGAGATTTGCAAGGAACAACGAAGCATGTGATCAACAACTTAATCCAACAAAGAATAATAATAATGACGACACTACTGAGTCTACCCAATTATTATACAACCATCACGATCTCGCTCTTCAGGTACGAGGTATCCCTATCACTATATATATATATATATATATATATATATATATGAACAACCTGCCTAAATTACTAATTAAATCGTCTCTAATCTTTTTTAACTATATATTTCTCATTTTACTATTTAATCTTCTCAAGCTTTCATTTTAACCCCTATTATTTCAAAAACTCAACTCCCCCACGTTGGTTTCGTGTTTTTTTTTTTGTTCACATTTAATTTTGCTGATTCAACGTATCCAAATATGTCGATAAAACAATACATTAAAATATTAAATTTCTATTCTTTTGTGAAATGATTTGATTGAGAATTTCAAAAGATAAAAAGATCAAATTGAGATAACCCTAAAAGATTTAGCTAGCTTATTAGAAGAAGATTCCTCAACTATTAGAAACCCAGTGTTCAATGGATTATATATGGTAATATTTTCGGTTGATTGTGATTTTTTTGCAGATGAAAAAAGATGAGGAAGAATGGCTACAAGAGATTACAAGTCTAATGTACTTACCATATATTAGTAGTTGAAATGGAACCGATGAAATCAAAAGAAGGGCAGCAAAAACGAGGAATATTATTCTGACTGTTAATTTTAATTAATATCAGACACCACACCATTCATTTTGAATGATAGGGGACTAATTGTTACGGCAGTATGTTTGGACATTTTCTTTCGTAAAAGATATCGGACTATTTCATTCAAAAGGTATGTTCAAATATGATATTTCACTTTCTAATTAAACATACCAAGGTATGTGTGGACATGTTTAATGTCAATTAATTAATTTTTAATTAATGATCTCAATTTGACTCCTTTGGCTGAGCACTTTGCGTGGGTGTACTTTACTTTGGAGTTTGATCCACCAATCCGAATAGTACCGAGCGATAGGGGAAAAAATGGTTTTGGAAAGCTAATTGTGGTTTGTACTTGATGGGATCGGATATTATTGGTTTGTTCATGACCACTAAGTTATTCTCGTTTATGTATAGTGGAAAATTTATATATTTACACAGCATCCAACATATACTATGGCTTGTAAAATTAAAATGAAAAAGTGTTTTTTCGAGATTCTTGCTTAATTAATTTTCATGTCGTTTAATAAACGTCTTAAATGACCGAAAAGTCAACAATTTCTATCATTTCCTGCTAAAACACGCTCAATCCTTTCATGTCGTTTTTTTAAACAACATGAAAAATCAGTTTTCTCAGTGAGATTTAAAAAGTGTTAAAAAAGTAAAAAAGAACCCTATTTTTTCCCGCAAAAAAAGGGCATTTTACCTTGTGGCTTTTTTTTCCTCAACAGTATTACTGTTCACTAAAGTAGTCTCCCAAAATGGCTCGAAACTTCAAGAAATATCGAAGTCTTGAATTCAAGCCACATGCGATTCAACTTCTAGCGTATTGACTTCTTAATAATAATAATAATAGCAGCAGCAGCTGGAGAAACCCTTCCAAGTTCGAAATGGGTGTCACCCAGCAGGCGTTCTTTCAGTCGTAAGAAAGCACTGAGAGTGAGACTACAGAGTGAATAAATTGAAAACGTTGTTTTCCCATTAGGCATCAGCTGACCCCAAAATAATGGCCCATAATCCCATTCCCAATATATATCCTTTCATTATTTCACTTTTCTTTCTCCACACATAATTGGTAATATCAAACCAATTATAATGGGCATGCAATGCTATGCACCACACAAGTCCAGAACACACAACAGAATTTTGGGAATTGGGATACTAAAATGATCTGAAAGGCTGCTGTTGCTGTGTGTGGACTGTGAAAGAGAGTATAAACCTATGGTTTGGTGGTGTGGGCAATGATGGGAGTTTATATTATATTGATTCCCAGCCCACCATCTGTATTCTGTGCTGTGTTCTGACCAAATTATAAAACCTCAAGTCACTGTTGAAAGGTCAGTCCCAAAAATTGTGAACATAAAGTTGACCCTTTAAAATTTTGTCTTCCTTTTTTCTCTCCATATATACCCAACACTAGATTTAATCTCTCACTATATAATAATTTATGATCATGCAGCACCAACATACACTATTGCATATATTGGATATAATTGGTTCACTTTCGGTGAGGGATAGGATAAATGGCAATAGCCGCATGTTGAAATATACCATTTTTTGGCACTGGCAGAAATAATAATTTCTATATATATGTTGATGGGCGTGTGTTTGGTATTTGAATTTGAGCTTCGACCCAAAAGTGACACAATTCTGTCTAATGATCTAACCATAAGATATATGAAGTTAATAATATATATATGATGAATGAAATGTATATATGTCAAACTAAAGAAGTCCAAAGGGTTGGTTACACTCAATATAGTGTAAAAAGTAAAAGGTAGACTTAAAAGTAAGAGGTGGGGGAAAAAGGAAAGGTAAATTAAAAGGCAGCTAGGAAGAGCAGAGATTGACATTGTGGGGAGTGGGGCATTGGGCCATTTTCAAGTGGAGCAGCTGGGCCTGGGTGATGGCCAGTTGCTCTTGGAGTGCCTCCACTTGCCGCTGTAGGCTCGATATTGTTCCCACGCACCCGTAAACCGGGTCTTTTATTCTCGCCTTCGCTTCGTACACAATCGAACTCACCGCGTCGCTCCGCTGCTCCTCTGCCACTTCCTATTCTCTTTTAAATTTTTATCAAGTTACTAAATATTTTGTCATGTAAATTTATCATCATCATAAATTCTAATATTTATTTATATCAATGTTATGATTGATTAAATTGAATTCAAACTCAAAACAGAATTATAACTTCTTCACACGTGGGATATAAGATTATGTGTTACATGGTTGAAATTTCAAACCCTCTCAAATAATTTATTGAACACGTATGGGTTTCATCATCTTTTTAAGCACAGAAAGATTTAGTTAAAGCTAGGGTTAATTGTTTCCCAACCCCTTTGACTTTTAAAAGATTCGGAGTTAAGACGACATTGTCGGATAGTTAAAGAGATATAAAAGTTCGACATGACGTTTAAGCCTCCAGTCACTGTAGAAATTATCATTACTACGTCAGCATTACTCAATAATTACCCTCAGTATGCCTTAGACAAAATATCTCTATCAACGTGTGACCCCACGCCTAACCAAAAAAGTAAATGAATAAATGAGATAGAAAATAACAATAAAAAGAAAGAAGAAGAAGGAGCCAAACATGCAGACAAGTGTACACTTGTCCATATATGTTTGTTTTTTACGTATAAATTAACAATTTCCACACGACCCAAAAGATGAGCGTTTGTTGATTTCAGAGTCTATGAAAGAAAAAAAAAGGAAAAAAGAAAACTGTTTAATGTTCATAAAGTGGGAAAAAGAAAGAACTCCCCATCAACTTTAATTAAAACAAAATTGATTGAATTCCTCTGCAAGCATAATGAAGCATCTTTTTTCTTTTCCTTTATTAAATTTTCCATGCATCCTACATTCCTTCTCTCTTACATGTAAGATGGAAGAGTAACCTGCAAAAGTGGCCTCCGAGAAAATTTCTAGTATTAGGGGAGTACCACATCCCCTCTTCCCAATGCTTTCTCTTGGTATTATTCAGTTCACACTGTAAAATTTATTTTCGAGATAATTATTTAATTAATGTTGTTAAATCCTACTTAATTCCGATGACAATGAACTATGGAGTGAATTTCAATTGAAAAGCTTAAATTTATGAATGGAAAATGTTGAAAAATGAAGGGAAATGGAGATTTTGAGGTTGAGATTGAGATTGAACCTGCAACAACTTGCTGACATTACTAGCTCCAAAGACTTTATGGACGCAGGAGAATTTGTGGGGCTGGTCGGCTGGGAAATAAGGGCCAAATACGCAGTCCTGAGAGCACCGCCGCCGCAGAAGCTTGCACGCGGCGCATGGGGATGGGGCACTCTTTTTGCAGCTCCCGCCCATATTCACCTCCGTCGCCATAATTTTCCCCCTAATTATAATGTCCTCCGCCTTCTCTCTAAATCTGATTAATTAAATAGCTACAATTTAATTCACTACTCCTTTTTGACGCTAAGAAGAAGAACAAGAAGAGGAAGAGATTTTCAAATGGGGAAATTAATTAGCATTTAAGAATATTGATCAGAATTTAGGGTTATGAAGGTGTGGGGGTGGGAGACGTGGCAATTGGCATCAACTAAATAGACTACAATTACAATTGAAGTGATGCCAAAATCTTTCCAGGGGACCCACCATGGAACAATACCAAGATTTTTCCTCAACATTATTATGACAATTCCTAAATTACAACCAACCACTAATCTTTATTTTATGCAAACAAAAATATTTATAAATATCCCAATTTTGTTTATTAATTCGTTGATCAGACCTTGGCTTTCTTTTCACCCACAATAATTAATTTAATTTGGTTGGATCCATGTCCGTATTTGCAACCCCATCAAAATTCTATTCCTCGAGTACATGTCACTCTCATTCATTTTTCTGCTTATATCCTTCACGATGCATGCTCGAAATAAAATAATAATAATAGACAACAAAGTATATACACACACACACAATGGGTAAAAGATCTCAAACCCATCAATTAATTAAAAATTTGTGGATTTATGATATTTTTATTAGTCCAATGAAATTAAGATTTAATTTTTTCACGTAGTGGGGTTGACTTTCAATGGATCATAATGTTGTTTTCGATCACCTCCATATGATTATCCACTTTTATTACCAATTGACAAATCAAAACACAACGAGCACCATCCTCAAGGATTATAATGACAACGACAAAACTCGTTTAATTTGCTAATGCTAATTAAGGGTAACTTTGCATTTTGTTGAAAACTTGAGAAATGGACTAAGATGAATGATGGACATCGTTGATTAAGGTATATTAATTAAGTAGCATTGCTTTTTCCATATGCTTAGTGGGAGATAGAGGGGGCCATCTCAAGATATATGTAGATCCTATCTTATATTTTATAATTATTTATATAGTGATAATAGTGCATACATCAATAATAATAATAAAATTAGACCATGCTATATAATATACATATAAAAAATAACAATTAATGGAGAAAACACGTAGGGATGGATAATTAAATAAATGCGAAGTAGTGGAATGGAAATTTTTTGTTTGTAATGAATGATATGGTTGTGCTCTTTTAAGCCGGCTTGGTGATGTCCATCTCATTGATATATAGTTATAGGAGGCAAGTTACATCAAATAGAGAGAGATGGCCATAATTGTCTTTTTTTCCCACCATTTTCTTTTCTTTTGGGTTATTATTACGTAACTCGTGCATTAATCATTTATTTTTCTGAAATCATACCTTTCCCACACTTCCAAAGGATCATATCATATCTTTTGCCCATGCTAGATAGCTTTTCATAAATGTCAAAGAAATCATAGTAAAACATAGCCGGTAAAAGTTTTTGTCTATAGTTTTTAATGCAATTTTATTAATGGCCTACATCGCATCCTGTCACTCTCTCTCTCTTAAATTTTATGAAAACTACTTCTCAACTTACTTATTATATTGGTTATTGTCAATTTATAAGCCAAATTTAAGAGGTTATTAAATTTTCATTGTGCTGGTATTGCTAGTCTACGAGGGAGAAAGATGATCATCATGTGATCTTTAATTATCTTGAAGTCCTTTTTTTTAGGATATATCGACCATTCATTGAGAAGTATGTGAAAAACATACCAATTAGTCAAGTTAATAATAATCAATAGTGAAAAATAGATTTGAATTATATGATTCGATCCTGTGAAGAAAAACAAGGGAGGAAAATGAGAGCAAAATTGAGTATCTCATTGTTTGACTTTGAACTTAAAAAATTGGACTACACGAGTACACTTTAATGACATGGTTAATGTTGTTGGGTGAAACAAAAAGCAAGACTAAGAATATAGATGGAACGATCAAATCTCGACAAGTCAAGCCCAAATATCAAGCAGTCGCCCGAGGACTCAAAGGTTAAGACCTAAGAAGTAGATTCAGACTAAGGACCAAGACACACAGGCCAACCAGTTCATGGGTCTGTCGGTCGACTCGACCAACTACACTCTCAATTGACCATCCTTTGGTCAGCCATGGGTGGATCCGATGAGCTTAGAATTGGTTTGGACTTGTCTTATCCGATAGCCTTTTTGTGCATCGCATAATGGGTCTGTCACTGTTAAAAAAAAAAAAGGAAAATTTCCTAATAATTTTAAGATTTCGCCCTATATAAATAAAGGAAGAAGATTCATAGTCAAGATATGCTGACTTAAACAAGTGTGTGTAGCTGGCCTAACACCACATCGGATGTGTACTTTTATCTTGTTTTGCATAGCATTCTTTTTAACACGAATTTGACAATTTAGATAATTCAAATTTATACCTCCATAATTCATATATATACTTTGATTTGTGTTAGAGAGTCAGTTATTTTTATATGTTAACTTTGATATATGATCACTCAAAATTAATATGAAGCTCATATAATTGTTAGGGCTCATGAGAATGGACTAAATCATGAAAAGAAATTAAATTGAATTCTCGCCAGTATTGAATCAAAATTAAGATTACCAACCACTCAAAAAATCGACTGAGAAATTTGAATGAATCCTCTAGTCTCCACTCAATAATGATTACCTATTTGAAGAATTAATTTTGTGGTGACATTAATTGAGGTGTGTGCTAGTCCAAACAACTCAATATCACAAAAACAGAAACACAAATAAAAATTACTTTAGTCGGTTTTGGACAAAAATAAATTAATTGGGTATAAAATATGTACACTTTTTGGCAATGGACTTTTTCAGCCACATAATTAGTATATCAATTGAGATAGAGATTCGAACTCATAACCGTAAACATGCGACAATTATTGCTGAGTCAAGCTCATGTTGGCAAGAACGTCAACGCTCTATATCTCACCAGAAATTTAATCTCAATCATATTAATGTGGAGTCCATCAAACGAAATAATACACCTAATTAATGAGACTAATTCAGTATTACAACAGAACTATTTTTTTTTTTTTTATCAGCTGTAGAAGTACTGTTCCCTAATCTGGGGCCACGACTTTCTTTTTGAGAAAGAATTAATTGTAACACACTTCACAGCAATCGAAAAATAAATCTCAACATTCTACATATAAAAAATTTCTACTTGTTCTCAATTAATACCCAATATTAGATTAATCAAATTTGGTACGGTGTTAATTGTGTTGGGGACCTAATTACAAATCAAAGTACTGTATCTCTCCTCATTTTATTCGATTTTCATCAAGTGAAAATGCCAACTTTAGTTTGTCTTATTTTATTGGAGTTTCAGAAAAGTCTGGGTGAAATAAATCCGTGTGGAATTTGACTAGTAAACAGAAGAAAATTTTCATTATTATAAAATTACAAGTCAACAAATTAAATTTACTTTACGTGAGTGGCTAAGGACTATATTCATATAATTTTTTTTAATGTTAAAAAGATGAAGATACTAATTAATTAATTATCACTCATTTGAATCTTCTAAATTCACACGAGGCTCTTGTAACAAACGTTGATAATTATACATACGTTACAAGTTAAAGTTATTCTTGGGTCTTGATAGTTGTATATTTGCTCCAAAATTAAGTTTTCAATTTATTTTTTATGGAAATTAGAAATTTTTTTTTTATGTATACTAAATTTGATTATGAATATAATGTCAGTTTTGATGTTTTGTATGCAAAGACCGACGCCTGTTTTCACTTTTCACATTAAAAAAAAAACTTTGACTATTATTTAAAGGGAAAAAAAATACAGGTGGCAACGCAATGTCCAATACGCAAACCCAAATACCCAATATGGGGCTTAGTAAGCCCAATACAATGTGTTGTGAATGTAGCATTACTCAGGATTTCCCATGTTTAATATTATAAAAAATAAAAAATAAATTCTTTTGGAAAGAAAAAAAAAAAGAAGAAGAAGAAGAAAGCGTAATGGTTAAACGGCACCGTATCAGTGTATCGTTACTCAAATATTGGTTTCCTTATGTGTTGATTTCGCTGGTTTTACTTTTAATATTATTGAGGTCTTGCTTCTGTTCAAATATATCAGCTAATATATCCCAAAAAAAATTAAAAACAAAAACGTATCAGCTGCGCAATCTCACAATGTAAATTAAATTCATTGGCTATTTTAGACGCAAAGGCGTACGAATTTATTTTTAAATTCTATTAAAAATTATCTATGATATTGTTTACCTTTAAACGATGTGAGATTTTAGAAGCATTTCTCACGTTCATTAAATTTGAATTTATAAAGTTTTCATTTCTTTTTAGTCTGAACAACAAAATACATGTCATTCTTTATTCTACATCCGTCAATTGGGATGTCTTATTTTTATTTAATGATGATTATTCTATGCAAATTTCAAATATGATAAATGAGTCAATATTATAATATTATTTGAGATGGTGAAATCAAATATTGAGGTTTTTTAAATTAGTATTATTCAAAACATATAATCTCAAGTCTCTTCTTCTGTGTACCAGTCCAGTCAAATAAAAGGGGATAGAATTTCTCTTTCACGTGAAGAAAACAGTAATATAGATCAATTAGTTAAGATATATATCGGACTAAAAAATTGAAGGTTTATTATTTGGACCCACCGGAACATCAAAAAACTCTACAAATAAAGTAGTCGTCAGACCCTTGAATATGAATCAAATTCATATTTATTTTAATATTTCAATTATTTAAAATTTTGTGTAAAAAGCAGTTTTTCTTAGGCAGTGTACTGTGTAAAGCAGCGGTTTGAAAATTATTTTAATTCACATTTACCATTACGACCAGAAGGTAATAATTGTGTATCTTTTTGGACTTTCTGGAAATTGAAAAGTCTAGAAATTAAATAGATTAATATAGACTCTTTTGTTTTGTTTAAATAATTGGGTGTATCTAATTTTCCGTGATAAGGATGATATTAATTTGAATAATAGTTGGAGGATGCAATTAATTTGAATAATATAATATAATAATTAATTGTCCGCTCGAACGATACAGAGGATCCGGTCCGCATATTTCTTATTATATAAAAATTGAAGTCCATCATTTTTTTCTCCCCTTGTTTTTTCGAAATTAATAATAATGAGGAAAATAAATGAACAAG